TGCAACAAATAAATAAATTTTAAACATGACGATTTAAATGATTGATTTTAAAAGGGCTTTAAGATGTACTTGAATTTAAGATTTCTCACGAAATCCGTTTTAAAGTCAAAATTAAATGGCCTGATTGAATTGGCTAGTTTTAGAAAGGCTTTTAAAGAGTATTTGAAATAGGAGTTCAAATGCTGCTCTGTTTGAAAGATATTTTTAGAACGTTTTATCTTAACTGAAATTAAGAAAAGCTTTAAGAAATTTAGTGATTCACTTATTTGAAATTATTGTTACAAATTATGAAAGTATTCTTTCTTATATTAAAAAAAAAAAATGTTCCGCAAATTTTAAGAAACCCCAGTAAGTACAAGTTAAAGTTTAAGTTACAGTGGCGGCCTCATAGGAGGGTCGTCACACATGTAAGCTTTCTGTTTAAATTCCTATTAAAAACAAACAAATTCAGGTCACATGGCCACACTTAACCTCTTTTTTTTCGTTTAATTTTAATAGAAATTCTTATAAAATGACTTAAATGCAGGGACAAATTCAATCGTCACACATGTAAGCTTTCTGTTTAAATTCCTATTAAAAACAAACAAATTCAGGTCACATGGCCACACTTAACCTCTTTTTTTTCGTTTAATTTTAATAGAAATTCTTATAAAATGACTTAAATGCAGGGACAAATTCAAAACTCAAGAAGCAAAATTTGAGTTTTTAAAATTTAAGGGATAAAAAGAGAATAACCTTAAATTCAGAGCCACCATTAACATAAATATTAAATAATACACACACACACACACACTTGCAATATAATAATATATTTGAGCTCACCAACAGAGCCGATCACTGCCCATTTCATCGAGGAAGAGAATTGGTCTTCAATATTGTTGAAGCCATCTGAACGTGAATTATCTGGGAAGTCGCTAAACACCAAATTGCCATTACCATCATCTTTAACATACTGAAGTAGACGACCCATTTCTTCTTAGTTCTTACTAAGCTGCAAACACAAAATACCTGCTATAAAATGAATATGAGCAAATTGCAGAAAGAGAGAATATTTGTAAATGATATAGGTAACTTTTTTTTTTGGTTGAATTAAATATATATATGAATTTCTTTAAATATGTAGTTAATTTCCCAACGCGGTTTTCTCCTTGACCATGTCTTCTATTCTTTTCTGGTGGAGCAGCAGATGAAGGGAAGTTTCCCTTAGGGGCGTTTGGTATGGGATAATCATAGGGGTGGGAATGGGAATCTTTCAGATTCTCATATTTGGTACAATTATTAGACTTTTTTAAAACTCAAGAAAATGAAGCTCATGGGTTTCACATTACCCCATTTTGGGGTAATCTTAATCTCACCCAATAAAGTGTTATTCAAATTCCTAAGAATCTCAAAATCATGAGAATCTCATAATAATAATAATAATAATAATAATAATAGTAATAATAATAATAATAATAATAATAGTAATAGTAATAATAGTAATAGTAATAATAAGTAACAGAGCTCGTACCTAGGGCTGGTGACCCTGTTTCAAACTAATTATCATGATGGAAGCAATAAAACTAAACACACACAAAAACTTCTAGGAATTAAAGTGGTTCATCTTTAAAATTGGTACGCCTATTATCACTGTAAAATAATAATTATGCTCAATAACTCAACAATCTTCCTGATGATACTTATAAAAACTACAAATATCAACACCCTTAATTTTAACACAATTAAAACATGTTTTGAAAAGACTAAAAAACATGCAAAGATTGGATGTACAAAGAATTTGATTACTAAATTATTACATTTCAATGAATTATCAATTATATATTTTTTATGAATGTGGATTATTATTGTGTATGAGAGGTTATGACTGTTTCTACTTTTGAGACATTATTGAAGCCATGATTTAATAATAATTATAATTATAATAATAATAACAATAATTATAATTATAATAATAATAATAATAAAATTATTATTATTATTATTATTATTCATTTAAAAAAATATTTTTTAATTCACAACATTCCCATGCACAACCAAACACAGTAATGTAATATTCTTAGAAATTTGAGAAAGATTTATGTATGGAACCAAACACAATAATGTATTATTCTTAAGAATCATATTACCCTCCATCACTTTCCTAAGAATATAATTCCTTATGATTACCCCATACCAAACGCCCCATAATCGTTAACTTTTTGTTCAAAGACTCCAAGGTAAAATAGGAAATGGGTTATAATAGTCAAAGCCTATGACTTTCAGTATTAAAAGCTGGTATGCATCATTGTGGGCCTTTAAATTAGTAGACAAGGGAGTTGTCTCACTTCTCACATAAGTTGAGAAATAATAAATTATAGATAATTCCTGACTTTCAACTGTTCTGCGTATTTTTATAATTAAATTTGATTTTAACGAGATTTAATAGTTAAAAACTGATCTTATTAATAAGAAAATCTCATCAGAAAAGTCCCCTCAAATAAAGACGTATATGAAAAGTGAGAGTACGTGACAGAAAGAATATAAAAAAATAAAAAATAAAAAACTAAAAAATAAAAAACCAATACGACTCTTCTAATGTGGGAAATTTCCTTTCAATTGGCTGTCTAATGGTCTCTAATACTACTTGTTCTCTTCAATTTTCACATCAAGTTCCCTCCATAAAATTAAAAAGTTCATGAGGTAATTTATTCTTTAATGTCAGGGACAAAATATGTCAAAAAACACAAATTCAGGGCTCGAATTGTTACTATACTCAAAGTTCAGTTACTAAGGTCTCGTTCATTTCACCGATTCGAATTTTCAGTTTTAGGTTTATACAGTAAAAAGCTCTTAGAAAATGTTACATCTAACTTTTTCTGCTACAGTAAAAAGCTCTCAGAAAATATCACATCTCAGTTCGAATTAAAAAATCAAATCCACAAAGTGAACGAGGCTTAAGTAGCCAATTAGAGATGCCGAGTGCTGACTAGTTGCAGTAGACATGTTAATTGTCTCTAAATAGCTGTGGAAGAAATAAGACCAATTATTAAAGTAGAGAAGAAAAAGATAAACACTGACTTATGCCACCATAAGTAGCATATATACGGGCAAAATAATGCACACAATAACATTTACGCAATGGTCTGTAAATTGTTTTTTTTTTTTTCTTAAAATAAATGGTGACAATGAAGAACTAACGTCACAGTTACAAATCACATCCCAGCTAGCTAGGTTAACAAACAAAAAAGATAACATGAAGTTGGACTTCATTATTTGTTAGGGTTAATTTTACAAAGGGTTTATGAGGTTTATTCTTAATCCATCTTTAGTCACTGACTTTTAAAACGTCTCACTGTTAGTACGTGAGGTTTTATTCTGTTTCAATTGCAGTCATTCTGTTAGCTTGATGTAAAATATATTTGACGAAATATGTGAAAATTATGGACCAAAATTTGAAACATATAAAGTTTAAGGACTAAAATAATACAAAAAAAAAAAAACACAAGTTAATTCTCACATATAATCCCAAATTTTAGCTGTTTTAAATTTTAATTTCTAATTAACACAAATTCCATCGATTTTAGTTTCTAATATACGTAGCCATGAAAGAGACATGTATTGTAACTATGTAAAAATTTTAGATCAGGCTGGATCACCATCAATGAGAGATTGGGTGAGGTTTAGAAGAACCGAAACTAAGTTTTTCCTTTTACCTACCGAGAACATCAATGGCCGGAGGTGATTTTCGATATGTTTCTTTTAATTCCGCATTTGATCTAATTGCTACTCAGCTTTGCTAGTAGAGAAATCCTAACATCAAGATCTTAGTATGTTAGGATCTTAGTATGACAAACTTACAGCATCCCAGATTCCTTTGCGGTCGGATCGAACAAGTAAGTGTCTCCAATCCTGTCTTCCATGGAGTGTGTTTAACCAAGCCATCACCATTGAGTTTATTCTTTCCATTCAATTTATGAGTCATGATTTGCCGGGTCGGATTTTCAGAACTTGCAGCGGGAACAATTTTAGAGTTTGACTGAGAACTATCCAAAATTACCCCGGAGTATCATAATATCGAATTTAGTTTCCTTATTTTGTTTTGGTTTAGCAAACCAAAAATAGGAAACCAAACCAAAACAAAATAAGGAAACTCTTATTAAAATAGCATAAATTCCTAATTAAGTAGAATAGGAAATTAGACCAAAATAAAATAAGAAAAAGTTAACAATGGGTAACTAGCCGAATAAAAATAAATTCCTAAATTAAATAGAAACTTGATAAATATCTAATACTATTCCTACAAATTGTTGCATGATTATTCAAATTTTTAGTACATGACAACAGACTGTTCCAAGTAAAGTACAAGAAAGAGAGAGGTCTTCAGCTTAGCTAGGCTGAAGCAATTTCAATCTCATATCTCCTCATGATAGGCGTTTCGGGAACACTAACAGAGTAAGGAATTTGCGAGGAATCCGTGTCGGTAAAGCTACTTGTCTGCGTCGCATTGCCAGGAAGAACAGGGCATGGAATTCCAGCCATCATGAACTGAAAAGGGATTGAAGGTGTAGGAATCTCTAGAGCTCCTTCCAACATTTTCACTACAACACTCATCAAAGGCCTAAGTTGAGGCCTTTCATGAACACACAAAAGGGCTACCTTAAACATTCTCTCCGCCATTTCCCTATCATTCTCCTCTATACCACACACAATCATCAAATCTCCCATTTCCCCACATTCAAACTTTTTCCACACCCGCCTCGGAAACCACTCTTGACTCTCCGGAAGACTATCGTCGAGATTCCTTCTCCGCCCCACAATCTCGAACAAAAGCATCCCGAAGCTATACACATCGCACTTGTGAGTTATCGGAAATGGCATCCAGAGTTCCGGAGCAGCATAACCGGGAGTACCTCTTCCTCCTGTCATGGTTATGTGAGTATTTTCCCTGTTGCATAGTTTGGCCAAACCGAAATCGGCGACTTTAGGGGCGAAATCAGCATCTAAAAGAATGTTTCCCGGTTTTATATCGTAATGGATTATTCTTTGCTGACATTCTTCATGCAGGTAAGCAATTCCTCTGGCTGTTCCTAGAGCAATTTCGTGGAGTTTTGCGAAGCCTAAGACCCCGTTCTCGCGGAACAAGAACTTGTCAAGAGATCCATTGTTCATGTACTCATAAACAAGAGCAATCATGTACCTTTCAAAGCAGAATCCGTAAAGACGAACTAAATTAAAATGATGAATTCTCCCCAGTGTGCTCACTTCCGCCATGAACTGTTGTTCAATTGTCTTGTTAGAGTTTCCGTAGAGAACCTTCACCGCCACAATGGTTCCGTTGGGGAAAACTCCCTTGTAAACCGCTCCGAATCCCCCGGAGCCTAACAAGTGGGTGAAGTTATCGGTGGCGATCCTCAGTTGCTGAGAAGTGAACCTGATGGGCTTCTCTCGTTCCATGTCATTGAGGAATTTGTCCATCGTAAGCGTCAAAAATCGCGAGTCTGGGACTGCGGTCTGGTTTTGGGTTCTAAATCTTCTGACGCACATTACTACAATAGCAAACACGCCAACAATAACTACTGCAAAAGATAAGAACTCAAACCAATCAGAAACCTCAAATCCGACTTCTAAATAATAAAAACCAAAGTAAAGAAAGATTAATGTCAGTACATATGCCCACAGTAATAGCTCCCGCCGAAGGTGATGATGAATCTGAGTCCTGAGTGCTTGACATTAGTTGAAAGCTAGATCACAACAGAATGAAGGGAAAAAAAAAAGCACTAATCAAAACTTGAAATATAATCCAGAAAAGCGGTATTTTTAGATCATTATTCATCCAAAATTATATAAGAGGGACAAGACAACAAATAGATGAACTTAGCAGTGCTTGTTGCAAGTCCATTCCATAGTATTTTATACTGAGAAACCGTGTGGGGTCTTGCATTTCATGGAGCAGCAGATGAAGGGAAGTTGCCCTTAAACCTCATCTTTTTGGCCAAGTAGGAAATGGCATTTAATAGTCAATTTTGATAGTCAATGAAAGCAAGTATTTAAGGACCTTAATTAGTTGAAAAGTAAGATCACATCCCAAACGAAAAATTATCTATTACCATTTTTCTAAGGGTTATTGGCACTAATATTAGTCTCCGAACTTTGAACAAAATGACACTTTTAAACTTTAAGTTTTTTTTTCGCATATTAATCCCTAAACTTTTGATTTTTGAAAGTTTTAGTCTCTAACACTAAACGATTTTCTCAATTTAAAGTAAATAATCACACCCTTATTGTATAAAAACTGAAAATTTTACATAAATAGTTATGCCGATGGCAAAATGTTATAGTTTCAATAGGTTTAATTATTAATATAAATATGAGATTTAGCATATAGCATGGCACTTAATTATCTTTGTTAAATTTTAAAAATCGCTCATCACTTTCGGTGTCAGGACTAAAATTGTAAAAAAAAAAATTCAAGAACTTATAAGCTAAAAGTAAAAGTCCAAAGGACCAAAATGTCTCTTTGCTTATAGTCAGAGTGTATTAGTGCTAATTACTTATTTTTTAATTTTTTTTAATTTTGGAAATTTCCTTTCAATTGGATTTTGGATGTTTAAGGGTCTCTAGTAATTATTATTCAATTTTCTTGTGTTCTTATATAAAACCTTCAGTGCGACAATGGTGCTTTCAGAGCATAAAGAGTAGGCCTTTTTTTTTTTTTTTCCATATGAAAAAGAGCACCTCCTCATGGGGATACAAAAACGTTCACACGTGGCGGTCTTTGGTGTGTCCCACCATGTCGGTCACACCAATTTAGGATGTGGGGTTATATCGAAGGGGGTGAAAGACATTTTTGTATGAAAATGTTTGGACGGAGACAACTAAGTAGGTGGGTTCCAATGACTTATTTTTGAGATATATATTTAGGGAATATACCATGATTTTAAGATTGGATTAACTTTTATTATAGATACTAAAACTATTGTAAAATATATCACAATAATATCATTTAAATTTTGTGTTTTGATTAAAATTATGCTGGTAATTTTACATATTTGATTCATTATTTTAAATTTTATAAGACTTTTTGTGGTTTTTCATGTATATATTTATAATTTTTATGAATTTTATAATTTTTAAGTATTTTTAACTGTGACATTCTCTACAATATTTTATATCTCCTAGTATATTTCTATCCAAGTCCAAAATATATGGTATTCCTGTAAAGTGCACCTTCTTTTTTATTAAAAATATCACTAAATGTGAAAGTTCAGGCCCTCAAATAAAAATTTTAGGTCAGCTGGATCAGCCCAGAGTTTTATATGACAGTGTCTTTCGTTAAAAGTTTCCATTTATTAATACTTTTCTCATGCAGTATGAGACTAACAACTTACCCTTTTTTTTTGTCTTACCTCATCTTATCATTCTCATAGATCAAACAAATTCAAATCGAGATTTTGACTTCCAAATAATATACATTGAAAATAAGCTTTGCGCATATTGAATGTATGCATGTGTACCTATGGAAGCATTAGTAATTTAGTATCCCAAATTCAATTACCATGAACAGCTATTTGTTACCTCACTTGTGTTGAGTGTGTAGAGCCAAATGCTTCATTCGTTTTACAGATTTGAGTTTTTAATTTGAGTTGAGATATGATATTTTTTTAGAGCTTTAATTGTAACAGAAAAAGTTAGATGGGACATTTTCTGAGAGTTTTTAACTGTAGAAACTTAAAACTGAAAACTCGAATCGATGAAATGAACGAGGCCTAACTATTTGCAACAATCGCACCTCTACTGGATACGATATTGATCATTTTAGACTTAAGCTCTTATGGTTTTCCTCTTGGACTTCACCCCAAAAGGCTTCGTACCATAGAGAGATGGTCTCCTTACTTACAACGCATCACTTATAATCTTCCCTAGACAATGTGACACTGCACAATTACTCACTGATATTGTCAAACTATTAACAGCGCACAAATTGAACTTAAATTTGGGGGCGCCCATTTTAGAGATAAAAGGCTAGAGATTAACACAAAGTCTAAGAGGTGTGAGGTGTGAGATTTTTCTCCCTTGCAGTTTTTTTCTTCATCATAGGGATATTCTTTACCAGCTAAAGATAGACGTATAGTTCTCCCATTGAAAGTGAACAATTATACACCTTTGTACTTATTTGTTTGTCCTTTGATTTAATTATTCTCGTAGAAAAGGTTTAGGTAAGCATCTGATTCTTAACAACTTGAGCAAGGATACTCAATCAAAGAAACTAGCAAGCCCATTTTTGTATGATCATTGAATTATGTAGTACATGACAAATACTGTTCTCAAGTAAAAAGACAAGAAAGAGAAGTTTTCCAGCCTAGCTAGGTTGAAGCTATTTCAATCTCATATCTCGTCATGATAGGTGTTCCAGGAACAAATCTAGAGAAAGGAATTTGCGACGAATCTGAGTCGGGAAAGCTACTTGTCTGCGTCGTATGGCCGGGAAGAACAGGGTATGGAATTCCATGCATCATGTACTGAAAAGGGTTTGTTGGTATAGGAATCTCTAGAACTCCTTCCAACATTTTCACCACAACACTCATCAAAGGCCTAAGTTGAGGCCTTTCATGGACACACAAAAGGGCTACCTTAAACATTCTCTCTGCCATTTCCCTATCAATCCCCTCTATACCACACACAATCATCAAATCTCCCATTTCTCCACATTCAAACTTTTTCCACACCCACCTCGGAAACCACTCTTGGCTCTCGGGGAGGCTATCGTCGACGTTCCTTCTCCGCCCCACAATCTCGAACAAAAGCATCCCGAAGCTATACACATCACACATGTGAGTTATGGGAAATGGCATCCAGAGTTCCGGAGCAGCATAGCCGGGAGTACCTCTTCCTCCTGTCATGGTTATGTGAGTATTTTCCCTGTTGCATAGTTTGGCCAAACCGAAATCAGCGACTTTGGGAGAGAAATTTACATCTAAAAGAATGTTTCCCGGTTTTATATCGTAATGGATTATTCTTTGCTGACATTCTTCATGCAGGTAAGCAATTCCTCTTGCAGTTCCTGCAGCAATTTCATGAAGCCTTGAAAAGCCTATGATCTTGTTCTCGCGGAATAAGTACTTGTCGAGAGATCCATTTCCCATGTACTCATAAACAAGAGCTCTCAAGTTCCTCTCAAAGCAGAATCCATAAAGCCGAACTAAATTAAAATGATGAATTCTCCCAATTGTACTCACTTCCGCCATGAACTGTTCTTCGATTCTCTTGCTAGGGTTTCCGTAGAGAACCTTCACCGCCACAATGGTTCCATTGGTGAAAATTCCCTTGTAAACCGCTCCGAATCCCCCGGAGCCTAGCAAGTTGGTGAAGTTATCGGTGGCGATCCTCAGTTGCTGAGAAGTGAACCTGATGGGATTCTCTCGTTCCATGTCGTTGAGGAATTTGTCCATCGTAAGCGTCAGAAATCGTGAGTCTGGAGCTCCCGACTCGCTTCCAATATTAGCTCTTTTGATGCATATCACAACCACAATAACAACCTTGACAACAATAACTACTGCAAAATGTAAGAACTCAACCAATCAGAAACCTGAAATCCAACTTTGTAAACAAAAACCAAACTAAAAGAAGGATAGTAAAACACTACCTATGCTCACAATAATAAGGGTTGCTTCTACCGAAGACGATACCTGAGAGTCCGGAGTGCTTGACATCAATTAAGAGACAGATATATAACAACGGAGTCAAAAAAAAAAAAAAAAAGAAGTAGAAAGAAAGACCACTCAACAAAACTTGAAATAAGTCAGAATAGCGGTATTTTTAATACAGATCATCTATTCAAGCAATATTACATATAGAAGTGAAGTTTCTACAAGATATGATGAACTTTTTTTTTGTGCTCAATAACATGGTGATGAACTTAGCAGTGTTTATTGTCAGTTCATCTTCTATTAATCATATTCTCCTACCATTAATATACTACGAAACCGTGTGGGGTATTGGTGCAAATAAGTACAATTAGGCCGGCTTTTAATATACAATTAGTGTTATGCCAATATACTAGCATTCAAAGAGCTTAAGATAAAGGACCTCTAAGGAAAGTAAGAAAAACAAGTCCGCTTTCCGCGAAATTACATCAATTGTGCAGCAAGAATTTAAATATCATCGATATAAGATTTGGATTTACGGATAATGTCAATCACTACAGATATATTCAGAAAAAATAAAGATGTCCAATTATAAAAATGTTTAGAGATACCACCGGTATTAAGCACCATCACTAATAGAAAGTATACCCTAATTGTGGGTCTCATGTCGCCGGATACTCTCCTTCTGTCACCTTGCTCATTTACCTGATAGCATTGGTGTTGTTAAGGAAAAAAGATACCGAATTTTTTTTTATATAACTTTCTAAAATACTTCAACAATTATTATTGCACAATTTACACTGGTTTAAGAGCTAAACTAATAATGAGATACTTAAAATAAAAAAAAAATTTACACTACCCATTTAATATTGGCTAGGAGATATTAAAGTATATTGTTAGGTTAAATACCTAAATCTTCACTCTGTTTGTAATACTAAATGTCACGTTTTACAAATTTACTCTATATGTACTTTTATAATGAATATTTTCATAGGATCCTTGATAGATGAGATGATTCATGGATATGTTCATAAAATCCTTGATTGAAAATCACATTAAAATCACATCAGATTAAAATGTATACGAAAAATTAGTTAAACCCCATCATGAAAATATAACAATATTCTAAATATATACAGTACAGTAAAATATTTTTGGTTGGTAACCTACCAAAAAATGCTTCGTTTTCGTATTGTCTTCATAGACATTTAATCTATGTT